ACACCGTCGAATCAGCTGCCAGCGAATATAAAGCAGGCAGAAAAACTTGAAAAGAAGAGACTGGCCTAGCCTCCCAGCCTACATCTTTCTCTCATGCTGGACGCTTCCTGCTCTCAAACACCAGACTGCAGAGTCTTCAGTTTTGAGACTCGGACTGGCTCTCCTTGCTCCTCAAGCTTGCAGACAGCAGACAGCCTACTGCAGGACCCTGCAATAAGTTAATACTTAATAAACTCATATAAATATATTATAATTGTATTGTATATAATATGTAATAACAAACTCATATATATATCCTATTAGGTTTTACTCTCTAGAGAACCCTAATACAGATTTTGGTACCAGGAGTGTTTCTAGAGGAACAGAATATTAAGGATGAAGTTCTTTCGTTGTTTTAGGGGTTTCTGGAGTTAGCTGCTTAATATGATTTGACCCCAAAATACTAAGGACTGTACTTCTAATAGTATGGAGAACACTGATAGTCTTTGGTGTAAACTGTTTAGAGAGTTATACAAAATAAATGCATTTGACGCTCCTGATTCACTGCTCGTAAGAGGCAAGGAGTTTAGTGACTCTATACATAATACCTTTGACCATATGTGGAGAACAAGGAACATAAAGCTGGTTGGTTACTCCTAAATTCAGTGGACAAAGAGATGAAAGAAAATGATGAACTCAGGGATTCTGTCTCCTGGCTTCAGAAGCAGATACTGAGCCTCAAATCTGCTAAGATTGCCCTGAGTGAGAGTCTTATCTCCTGTAGAGAAAGAGTTGAAATTGTGGAAGAACAGACACAAGCTCTTATCACGCAAGTGGCTGACCTGCAATGAAAGGTGCACGCACAGTTTCGCCAGATGTCTACTGTTAATATGAGGGCATTGATTGGAACAGGATGAGACCCTGTAACTTGGAATAAAAATGTGTGGAGGAGGACCCTGATGAAGCTAAGGACATTGAGTTTGTAAACTCTGAGGAAGCTTTTTTTTTGCCAGAACGAACAGCTTCCCCATCCCCAGTAACGACAACCTTCCCTCCCGGACCCATACTGCCATCAGCCTTTCCACATTTGTCTGAGGAGATAAACCCTGTGCTGCCTGAGGCAGCAGTGATGGCCTCCCCTGAGGCAGTTGCCAGGCAAAATAATATTCTTCTCAGGAATCACACCCAACACCCCTGTTTCCTTCTGGACCTATAACTAGACTAAAGTCCTGGAGAGCCCCTGGAGTTGAGGTTGAGAGTGTGACCTACAGGGAGGTGCACTACACACAAAAAGAACTGTTTGGGTTCTCTAATTTATGTAAATAGAAATCTTGAGAACAGGCATGGGAATGGATATTAAGGGTATGGGATAATGGTGGAAGGAACATAGAGTTGGATCAGGCTGAATTTATTGATTTGGGCCCACTAAGTAGGGATTCTGCATTTAATGTTGCAGCCTGGGGAATTAAAAAGGGTTCTAATAGTTTACATGCTTGGTTAGCTGAAATATGGATTAAAAGATGGGCCACTGTGAGCAAGCTGGAAATGCCTAATCTCCCTTGGTTTAATGTAGTGGAGGGGATCCAAAGGCTTAGGGAGATTGGCATGGTGGAGTGGATTAGTCACTTTAGACCTACTCATCCCAGCTGGAAGGGTCCAGAAGATATTCCCCTGACCAATGCCTTGAGAAATAGATTTGTGAGGGCAGCACCTGCATTTTTGAAGAGCCCTGTAATAGTTCTTCTCTGTATGTCAGATCTAACAGTGGGAACTCCAGTCACTCTACTACAAAATTTAAATTCTATGGGAGCAATTGGATCCGAGGTGGCAGCAGCCAAGTGGTGGCACTCAACCATCAAAGGCAAGGTGGGCATAGCTACCATATTTGACAACAGAGGCAAAGCAGCAATCAGAATAGTGTGACTTGTGTAGAGCTCTGGCATTGATTAATTAATCATGGTGGTCCCAGAAATGAAATAGATAGGAAGCCTACTGCATTCCTACCTAATTTTTTTTTTCATTTTTTTCTGAATATTTTCTTTTTATAAAATTTATTTTATTTTATTTTACTTTAAGTTCTGGGATACATGTGCAGAACCTGCAGGTTTGTTACTTAGGTATACATGTGCCATGGTGGTTTGCTGCACCTATCAACCTATTATCTAGGTTTCATTTTGTTTATTTTATTTTTATTTTTATTACACTTTAAGTTCTGGGATACACGTGCAGTATGTGCAGGTTTGTTACATAGGTATACACATGCCATGGTGGTTTGCTACACCCATCAAACTGTCATCTACATTAGGTATTTCTCCTAAAGCTATCCCTCCCCTAGACTCCCATCCCCAACAGACCCCGGTGTGTGACATTCTCCTCCTTGTGTCCGTGTTTCCTGGTGATACTGGGAGTCCTGTGAGTATCATGGGGGACTCCTGTCTCAGCCACTGCCTCCCCAGGTCACTGGATGCCCATGAGTATAGGAGCAGGAGGTGTGAGGTGTGAGGATGGGGACTGCAAGGACTCTACCTGCACAGGGATAGATCCGCATGGGGCCAGGGCATCACTTGCTTTTGACAGCTTCCCAGTGGATTCTAAAACAGAGACACATTTGAGGACCCCAAGGCAGAACATTTGTCATTCTTGTATTCTTTAGTGGGAATAACCTCAGATCTTCCTGGGCACTAGTGAGGTCTAAGTCAGACAGAACTTGGAAGCCTTCCAGCAAAATGCATATCAAGATGCTCAATACATAGAAATTTTTATTCATTGTAAGCATTATAGTAATGGTTGCTCCAGTTTGCAGAGTGCTAAGATTTTCCTGAGTATTAATTAATTTAGTGTGTTCTTACAACAATACTGTGATATGCATCCTATAACACAGAAAGGCACGCTAATGATAAAAGGGATGTCTATGCATGTGGGTGCATGTGTGTATGAGGATTTAATGTAAGGCATGGGTATTTGAGAGGGCTTTGCAGAGGAAGAGGTAAGCGAAGTGAATTCTATAGATGGGGTTGCCAGATGTCTCAGGCAGGGAAGGCTACAGAGGCAAAGGAAAATACATTAGCCCTGGTGGAAGGATATGAGTTATGTGATAAGTAAGAAATGAAATATAAACAACTGTGACTGATTACAGAGTACCTGGGGAGAAAAGGGAGATGAGAGGGCAGGGGCTGGCAAAAACAGGTGTTGGAAGCCCTTGTGTGCAATGCAAGGGTGTGGACTTGCTCCTCCAGTAAGTGTTCCTCTGTGGTTTTCTCCCAGTGTTGCAAGAGCTCCGTGAGTCCTGGTTTGCCATGCACAGTGCGTAGACTGAACTGGTAATGGGTTTCACAAACTTAGGTTCTGTTTTTAAGTGCACCTATTTTCTGGTGTGATTTTTAAAATATATATTTATTTTACAAGAAATGTTCAATTAATAATAACTTATCTACTATTGTTCCAAGTGTATAAACATTATCATATGAAGGTAGGTTTAGGGTAAAAATAAGTTACCTTACTTAAAATCCTTGAGAACAAAGAGCCCTCTGGTCATGTACACTTGTGGAAAAGGAGACAGAATCACATTTTAATTTTAGGAGGTTCACTTTGGCGTGGATAAGGAGAACATATTGCAGGAGGGCTTCAGAGGCTAGGAGACAATTTAGGAGATTTCAATCTAAGTTGTGAAGGACACAGACCAGACTGTGATGGTCACTACATGATAGGAAAAAAGAGATTTGCAGAGGTAATGCTGTAGCCATGGAGGGAATAAAATGTAGTGCACGGCTAGAAGGCAGTAGGAAGGGGAGACGTTTCTGGCTGATTCATGTTCCCCCCAAAAAACATCTACATCCTAATCCCTGAAATCTGTGACTGTTCCATTACATGACAAAAAAGCACTTTGCATATGTGATTAAGTTAAAGATGATGAGATAGGGACATTATTCTAAATAATCTCGTGGTCCCTAAACCCAACCTCTGTACTTTGTAATTAAAAGGCAGAGAAGGATTTGACATGGAAATAACAATAGAAAAAAAATTATCATGGAGAAAGAGGTTGCAGTGATGTGGCCACAGGACCAGGACAGTCAGCAGCCCAGAAGCCATTAGCAGCCCTTAGTGATCTCTCCCTGAGAGCCCCCAGAGGGAGCCGAGTCCTGCTGCCCCCTAGCCTCCCAGCAATGATACTAATGTTGGGCTTCTGATCCCCAGAGATGTCAGAAAATCAGTTGTTTTAAGCCACCAAGCTTGCAGAGGTTTGTTCCAGCAGCCACAGGACACCAAGACAAGAACCTGTTGGGTCTCCCTGTGTCCTGGTTAGGAGACTTGCTGGGTGGGTGCATTACCCTGGGTGGTCTCATGGAAGGGAGAGCAGGCTGTGGGAGGACGCTGTGCTCAGTTTCACATCCTGCTCCTGGAAGGACTGTAGAGTGCACGCTTGGAGCTGTCCAGTTGGCAGGGGGTGCTGGTCTCTGGAGCTCTTGGGAGAGCTGGAGAGAGAATTTGCCTCAGGTGCTGGTAAGGGTGCAGACACTGAGGAGTGCTCTGAGTGTGGGGAGTGAAAAAATGTGAACTCCATGTCGAAACCTGGAGATGCCCTCAAATTGTGATAAATTAGGAAATAAACATGACGGGGCAGAGAAACCATAGTGCAGAGGTGGCACCAAGCAGGCTGACCTTCGGTCCTAAAGGACATCACACTAGGGCCACTGCTGGGTGGGAACTCCAGGCCTGGACACCCAGGCAGGCTGGGGGTTCCCTCAGTACAAGGCCATCAGAAACGCTGTAATTCCTGTGTCCTCGTTAACATGGTTTTCATTTAGGGCCACAGGATAGGGAATGTCTAAGGAATGCAGGACGATTCTTACCAAATATTTCCCTCTGGGATGCCTGGACTCCGGCCCCATTGGTAACAGGACCTAGTTCTCTGGAGCTGATTATCACCCACAGCAAAAGGCCGTTCCCCTATAAAAGCCACCCTTGACTCAAGGCCTAAGACTGCAGGATCATAATAAGACTAGTGGAGACGTGCAGGGCAAGTGATTTATTAGAGAAAGACGTTGAAACCTTTACATTCTGCAGTGACGATCAGAGTATCATTGAAAGATAGTGGAAACTAGCATTAAAAAGTTTTTACATCTCAGCCATCACATTTCTCTGCTATTTTTTCCTGAAATAGAAAAGGAAAGAAAGGAAGGTGAGGTTGGTCATGCAGCTCCTGGAGACAACAGGTTAACATCCAAGTGGTCGATGGAATTCTGCTCCCAAAGACAATTGGAAGGGCAGAGGCAGGAACCCAGTGTGCGTGGGAAACCAGAGCCTAGACCTGGGGGCTTCACAGCACCCTTGCTGGTGAGGGAGCAGCCTTTCCTTGCCAGGCCAATAGCCCTGGGGGGACCCAAGTGTGAGGCCCCGGGTCCTCACGGGGGGGAAAGAAGGGGTGGACAGAGCAGCCAGAGGTTATTGTCTGGGCTATCCCAGGACTTGGAGTCTCCTGTTTCCTACAATGAGGGACCCAGGACTGAGAGGCTGGTCAGGGCTGAGAAGGCTTCTGGGAAGCTTGGCTTCCAGGAGACTCCAGCCTCCCCATGTGGGAATTCTGCCTCAGGGCCCAAGCACCTCTCAGTCCTGAGCCTGCACCTTCCACGAACATTTGTAGCTAAACCTCAGGACAGCAGCCCAGAGGCAGCCAGGCTGAGAGGCCCCTGGAAAACCTCTGATTTCTTGAGAAAGACAGAATGAGAGCATCCCGCTTCCATGGCACTGCAGGAGGTGGAGTAGCGAGGGTCTTGGCCCACTGGCCGTGGTCAGGAGAGCATCGTGGGTGAGGAGGGGAGCGTGGAGTCTGAGGAGCTGGGAGGAGCTCCTTCCTGGCTCTGCAGAAGCTGCAGAGAAGCCCAGCCCTCCAGCGCTGCCTCTGTAGGAGGCCTGGCTTTGGGTCCCTCCCTGCCTTCCTCTCCCTGTTCAAGGCTCCCACACCCCCCAGTACATTCCACAGTGACTGTGTGAGGGCCGCTTGGCCTCAGGAAAGTCCCCAGGTGGAGAGGTAGTCATGTTTAGCCCTTCACCATCCCTGCTTGGGCCCAGGCTCACTCCCAATGTCCTCAGCACACTCTGGGGACATGGCATCCAGGCAGGTGACCTGAGGAGGGGGAACATGCAGGAGGCTGTGCGCAGCTGAGCTGAGTTCTGCAGGTGTAATGGAAGCACCCACCCTGTGGCCCTGAGTGACTCTCTCAAGCAGTGAACAGCAAGGCAGGTGCCCCACCACCTGTGTCCCCCGCAGAGCAGCAAGCTGACCTCACTTCACACTGTGCTGCTGACCAGAAGCCTCGACATGAAAAAAGAAATAAATTGACCGCGGTGGGTGGATCGCCTGAGGTCAGGAGTTTGAAACCAGCCTGGCCAACATGGTGAAACCCCATCTCTACTAAAAATACAAAAATTAGCCAGGCATGGTGGCAGGTGCCTGTAATCCCAGCTACTTGGGAGGCTGAGGCACAAGAATCACTTGCACCTGGGAGGCGGAGTTTGCAGTGAGTCAAAAAAAAGAAAAGAAAGAAATTACCTGGACTTTTTCAATTAAAAGATGTTTCTCAAGCGGTATCTGATCTGTGCATTTCTTCACTTCCAAAACGGCTGCTACAGCTTCTGGAGGTGCATCATATTTGGCAAGTTTTAACTTGAACACAGGTTCATTAATGAATGAGAAGCCTGAGATCTCAGAAAAAAGAGCTGGGCAGACCACAGCATTGGCTGCAACACAAGAATAAAAATACTCTTTATGTTAGAAAAAGTCGATTTTTTTTCATGGCTGCCTAATGGCTACCAGACATCACCCCCTGGGATCCGTGTTTCCACACCATTATTGTGCTGATGACACTGCCAGACCTTCTCGGTGTGATTTCCTCAAGGTCACACAAACAAAGGGAAGAGGTTCATACCTACAGCTAGACTCTCTTTTATTTATATATTTTTCTTTTTTTTGAGATAGAGTTTTGGTCTTGTTGCCCAGGCCAGAGTGCAATGGCATGATCTTGGCTCACCGCAACCTCCACCTCCACGGTTCAAAGCCGATCCCTTGCACTCAGCCTTCCTGAGTAGCTGGTTACAGGCATGCGCACCACGGCCTGCTAATTTGTATTTTTTAGTAAAATAGGGGTTCCTCCATGTGGTCAGTGCGTCTCGAACTCCATGACCTCAGGTGAAATCCACCCGCCTTGGCCTACCCAAAGCGCTGCGGATTACAGGTGTGATGTCCAACCGCACGGCAGCCCTTTTTTTTTTTTTTTTTTTATTTTTTTTCTGAGACAGAGTATCACTTTCTACAGGATGGAATGCAGTCGGCACAATCTCGGCTCAGTGCAACCTCAGCCTCCTGGGCTCAAGCGATCCTCCCACCTCAGCCCCCCAAGTAGCTGAAACTACAGGTGAATGCCACCATGCCCAGCTAATTTTTTTTGTGGGCTATTTATTTATCTATTTATTGTAAATACTGGGTATCCCCACGTTGCCTGGTCTTAAACTTCTGAGCTCAAGCGATCCGCCCGCCTCGGCTTCCTGAAGTGTTAAAATTACATGGCTCATACCTAGTGTTAAAATCTAGGTGTGAGCCATGATGCCTGGCCCACAGCTAGACTTTTGACAGCCTTAATCTTACTCCATTCCCATAGCCACTCCTGGCAGAAGCTCTAACCACCAGTGATTGGAGGAGGCTGGTCAGGGAGGGTGAGCATTGTGCCAAAGGTCAAATGGCTGGGAAGTGGCAAAGCCCAGATTCACCCCAGACCTCACATTACGTCCTCTGACACAGATCCCATCCAGGAGCGAAGCTCGGGCAGAAGAATTCCTAACATTTTCCTGCATTTATATTTTATAAAACTTCCTAGGTGCTGGGGAGAAGAAATAGCCCTGAGCTTTCTGAGAGGCTCATTCAACAAGCACAGAAAAAGGTCTGGTGTTTTGGTTTAGTGAAGACTCCTACTCCAGCCCAAATGAGTGGCCTCGCCTCGGAGGAGGGTGCGTCCCAGCGGCTGGTGCTGGACTCATCACGGATGTACTCACCCTGGTAGCAGCAAAGGGCCAGCGTGACCAGTAGGAGACACACCGACAGCCTCATGGTGGCTTATTCTGCTGTGAGCTCAGCTTGCACAAACGATGAGAAATTTGGACTCGATCCCAGAAGCCTGTGAAGCCGTGGAGCCCAGGGCTATTTGTATCTAGGGAGTCTGGCTGGTCCTGCCCACGGGGGCACGTGATAGGTCACCAGGCCTGGCTGTCAGCTCAACCTTCCTAGCCAGGGCTGCTGCCATCCATCAGTGTCATGTCCCCACGCCTCCCTCCATCCCGAGTTGGGCGGAGCTCAGGAGAGCAGCCCACGTGTGGGCAGCAGAGCTGAGAACCACCCAAAACTCAGCTCTGTGCTCCAGGTGGGTGTCCCGAGATCTCTGGAAATATTCCCGGGATTCTCAGTTTCCTCCTGAGCTTTTGCTAATTATTATTTTTTCTTTGTATGAGTGCAGAAGCCTAGGTGGATTCTGACTTCAGCAGGCACAGGAAGCTGGAAGGCTGTGTTCTGGTTATGGGAGAGCAGGGACATAAGGAAACCCTGCTTTGATCCCCCTGCATGTCTGACAACCAGCCAGGCTTGTTTCAGTTGCACGTTGAGCAAGTCTAAACAAGACCTATTTTTTCCCTGAGCCCCTTCCATCGTCACCATGTTCACTGCATAGGTACCTAAAAATGAGTTGAACACGTCCTACCTTTGGAGGATTTCCTGGGGGAAAAGCAACCACCACACCTGTTCTCTATCCTGCCTTACTCCCAGACTGAGTCTTGTTTATGGGTGCAGTTATAAATATGACCAAGATTCACATTTTCTACCTATGAAGAGCAAGCTTTCTGTGATGTGTAGCCACTTACATCTTATCTTAGGGCTGGTCTGATGAATAAATATCCCAACTTTTTCCAAATTAGCCGGGCATGGTGGTGGGCGCTTGTAGTCCCAGCTACTCGGGAGGCTGAGGCAGGAGAATCGCTTGAGAGGTGGAGGTTGCAGTGAGTCAAGATCATGCCACTGCACTCCAGCCTGGGCAACAGAGCAAGACTCTGTCTCAAAAAAATAATAATAATAAAATAAAATAAATAAATAAAGAATTTGTTTCCAAAAAAAAAAAAAAATGTGTGGAAGGAGCCCAGACAACAGCATGAGAGAAGTTGACACAGTATAAACAAAGTGTCTTGTGAAGATCATCAGGTAGCCTGGTGAACCTGAAACAGACAGATGAACATGGTATAATAAAGAAGGGTTTGTGACTGGAGAACAGGATGGGCCAAATTCAGTGGAGCTTGCTTGCACTTTCCTCTGTGGAAAGTAGAATGAGTGGGAGAGATGAGGCACTTTCAGATTTTGTTACCCCACTGAATCTTTTTTTTTTTTTTTTGGTGATTTTAAATCTCAAGTCAAAATAACAGACTTTCATATCCTTTAGGATAGCTGCTATAAAACAGACATACAAGCTAACTAACAAATTTGAAAATACCATTGTGACAAGGAAGTGCTCTCTTAGTGGGAATGTAAAATAGTTCAGCCATCATTGGAGAGTATGGGGGCCTCTCAAATTAAAACAGAAAATATCATAGGATCAAGGAATTTCTCCTCTGATGATATAGCCACAAGTACTGAAATCAGGATATTATAGATATATCGCATGGGCATGTCCTTAAGGACACTATTCACATAGGTGAAGAAGGGGAACCAACCCAGTGTTCATCCCCAGATGAAAGGATGAAGCAAATCTGGGTATTCATGGAATGGAATCTTATTCAGACTCTAAAGGAAGGAAAATCCAGACACAGGCTGTAGAATTCAATATAGATGGACTACAGTACATTATACTATATGAAGTAATCCAGTCATAAACATAAATATAGTATGATTCCACTTATGTGTGGTATCTACAGTATCCAAATCCACAGAAACAGAAGTTTGAATAGTGGTTTTCAGAGGCTTTTGGGGAAAAGATATTGGGAGGTATTGTTTAATGGTAGAGGATTTCAGGTTTCCAAAAAAAGTTTTTGGAGATTGGTTGCACAATAAAGTGAATGTACTGAATACCGCTGAGGTGCATGCCAAGTCGTAAGATGCTACATTTGTAATGTACCAAATGTAAGATGGCGCGTTTTGCATTTTCGTATCACAATGAAAAAAAATTTAAACCACCTGGGCTTGAAGTAAAAGTCACACCTTCCAAGCACCTGAATTTTGAGCTACCTGCTTCTGTAAAGCCAAGGATTTACAGAAGGCCAAGAGGGCCTTGAGCACATTCTCTTTCCTAAGCCCTTACTTTCTGTTGACTCATTCATTCAACCAACAAACCATTTTTATCCTCGATCACACAAACATTGCCTTGGCTTTATAGAATGGAACGTCCCATGAAAATCCAGTCACCAAACTAGCCGTGAGCTGATTCTTCTTGGAAACATGCAGGCCCAGAGTGTTGCAAAAACTTCTGTAGTTAATGAGAATGGTGGTAACAAAGAAAGTAGTAATAGTTTTCAGTTTGTATATCTGTACCTGCAAAACACAATTGATCATACTCACATTCTTGTTACAAAAGTGCAATATATAAACTATTACATTTCCAATAATATAGTTGAGGCAACTGACTTGCAGAAGTAAGAAACTCATCCAGAGTTGCACAGTTTAAAAGCCAGAAGGTCTGACTCAGGCATTGATGGTGTATGAGTTGTGAAGTAGCAAGGTGGTTCTCTCAGTCCAAAATCTGGCCCTGTTTACATGTGAGGTGGGCTGGAGGCAGATGCAGATTAATTTCTATCGAAGCAGCTCCTTGCATTTTACTTTTTCACTCAGGTGATTTCTTCTAATCAATGATGCCTCACATTAGCTTCTTCATCTAGTTCATTTCACTTTTTCGTCTTTTCCTTTTGAAGTAAGATCCTATAGTAACAACATCAAATGCTGGTGAGATGAGGAACAACAGGAACTCTCATTCATTGACTGGTGGAAATGCAAAATGGTACAACCATTTGGAAGACAGTGTGGCGGTTTCTTACTAAACTGAACACATTCTCACCACAAATTCCAGTAAGTGTGCTCCTTGATATTAACCTAAATTAGTTGAAGTTTAGTTACAAAAATGGGGACACGGATATTCAAAGAAGCTTGATTGAAAATCATCAAAACAGGAAGCGACTGAGAAGTCTTTTAATACGTGCAGAGATTATTAACCTTTGGTACCTACAGGCAGAAGAATATGATTCACCACCAAGAAGTAATGAGCTCTTATGCCATGAAAAGAAAAAAAGGAATCTCAAATCCTTATAACTAAGTGAAAGAAGCCAATCTGAAAGGGTTACCTACTGTAGGATTCCAACCATATGACATTCTGAAAAGCACATATGGAAACAAAGGTCTGTTATTGACAAACGTTAATGGGGAGGGAATCATGAAAAGGGAGAGCACAGGGGATTTTTAGGGCAGAGAAACAATTCTGAATTTTTAAAAATTTTTTATTTCCATAGATTTTTGGGAAACAGGTAGTATTTGGTTATATGAGTAAGTTCTTTAGCAGTGATTTGTGTGATTTGGGTGCACCCATCATCCAAGTAGCATACACTGAACCCAATTTGTAGTCTTTTATCACTCACCCCCCTCCCACCATTTCCCCCAAGTCCCCAAAGTTCTTTGTATTATTCTTATGCTTCTGCATCGTAATAGTTGAGCTCCCACTTATGAGTGAGTACATGTAATGTTTGGTTTTTCATTCCTAAGTTACTTCTCTTAGAATAATGGTTTCCAGTTCTATCCAGGTTGCTGCTAATACCATTCTTTCCTTTTTATGGCTGCATAGTATCCCATTGTATATGCATACTACAATTTCTTGAATCACTTGTCGATTGATGGGCATTTTGGCTGGTTGTATGTTTTTGCAGTCCTGAATTGTGCTGCTATAAAAATGCCTGTGCAAGGATCTTTTTCATATAATGACTTCTTTTCCTCTGGGTAGATACCCAGTAGTAGGATTGCTGGATCAAATGGTAGTTCTACTTCTGGTTATTTAAGGAATATCTACACTGTTTTCCATAGTGGTTGTATTTGTTCACATTCCCATCAGCAGTGTAGAAGTGTTCCCTTTTCACTGCATCTCTGAACAACATCTTTTGTTTTTTTGATTTTTTGAATCATTATGGTCTTAATATATTATGGCCATTCTTGCAGTAGTAAGGTGGTATTGCATTGTGGTTTTGATGTGCATTTCCCTGATCATTAGTGACATTGAGCATTTTTTCATGTTTGTTGGCCCTTTGTATCTGTTCTTTCTAGAACTGTCTATTCCTGTCCTTAGCCCCTTTTTTTGATGGGATTGTTTGTTTTTTCCTTGCTAATTTGTTTGAGTTCCTTATAGATTCTGGATATTAGTTTTTTGTTGGATGTATAGATTGTGAAGATTTTCTCCTCTGTGGGTTGTCTGTTTACTCTGCTGACTGTTTCCTTTGCTCTGCGGAAGCTCTTTAGTTCAATTAAATCCTACCTATTTATCTTTGTTTTTATTGCATTTGCCTTTAGGTTCTTGGTCCTGAAATCTTTGCCTAAGCAAATGTCTAGAAGGGTTTTTCCGATGTTATCTTATAGAATGTTTACAGCTTCAGGTCCTAGATTTGAGTCATTGATCCATCTTGAGTTGCTTTTCATATAAGATGAGAGATGAGGATCCAGTTTCAGTCTCCTACATGTGGCTTGCCAATTATCCCAGCACCATTTGTTGAATAGAGTGCCCTGTGATGGTATATACAGGTCATTACACATTTCTCAGAAATTATAGAATGTAGGACAGCAAGAGTGAACTTTAACATAAGCTATGCACTTTGGATGAAAATAATTTGTCCAGGTAAGTTCATCAATTGTGTATGTCACTCTGGGTTAGGCTTTGAATAATGAGGGAGGCTGTACCTGTGCAGGGGCAGGAGTTATATGTGAACTCTGTATTTTCTACTCAATCTTTTCTGTAAACCTGAATGTACTCTAAAGGAATAGTGTGTTAAAAAAAAGAATGATGCAAATTGCAAAAAAAATGATTTTCACACGAGAAGAAAAATCCTTATTGAAAAAAGCCAAATCAATGAATTGTACAATAATATAGATAGCTGATCAATTTTGGTGAAAATCTAAGACAATCAACTAAAAACTATTAAAAGAAATAAGAATACATGAAGTTAGCTAAATACAAGTTAAGAAAATGAAAAAGGGAATTGCTTTCCTGCAA